TCTCTCTCTCTCTCTCCCTCTCTCTCTCTCTCTCTCACACACACACACACACACACACACACACACACACACACACACACAATCAATCAATCAATCAATAAAAAAAAACCCTTTTTCTTTATTTATTTTCGATTTTTGCATCTGCATTTTTTTAAAACACCTCATACCCCTGCAAAATACACATATTCATTTCTGAAAAAAAATACAGGTAAACTCAGGGACCATGTATCTCATTATAAAAAATGACAAAAAAAAAATCCTGCGTTTCTTTATATATATATTTTTAATTTTCTTTAAATCAAATTTAGTTTTTCATTTAAAAAAAATCCTAAACAAAGTCGGATTCCGAAAAACAAAATATGGGGTTGTAGGGCTTAAAATTCCCTACAACCCCATATATATATATATATTTTTTGGCCTATTATTTAATTCAGGAAAAATCTGGTAAAATCGGGTCCGCGGCGCGGACCCGGTAGGCCGCGGAGGCGGCCGTGAATACGTCCGCCCTCCGAGCTCGGCCCCGCGGACGCGTCCGCGGGTGTTTCATAGATTACATGGCCATTGTACATGCCTCTGACCACTGGCAGCCGTGGGACAACGGCACCATGGTCCATGCGATGATTGATGTGATTGATTTCTTACAAAATGATGCTGTTTTCTTGCCACAACAAACCGTTCGCAATCTGTTTTATGTCGAAGATCATTCCTCTGGCCCCGTGCTGCAGCAACACAATGTACCAACACTCTGCGACCTTCTCCTTTGCACAGCCACAAACACTGTCACACTCGACGGCTGTAGCCGCCATCGTCTCTGTCACAATCACTACAATGCCATGATTTCCGCATCCATGCGTGCAGAGGACTGGCCCTCCGTTCCTGACTGCAGGCACCTTCGGGCCTCCGCATCCGGACACCATATGTCCATTTTGTGGCCAAGGGCGCTATACTGAATGCATGGTCTTTTGTGGGGACCGTTCTTCCATCATTTTGCCCTGCAATCCACATGCCATTTGTCGGGGGTGTATGGTGGGCATGCTCAATGCCAGCCGTGGTGGCAATTGTTGCACTGAGAATGCTCAGATGGGTCTTCCATGTGTTCATCCGCCTCATCCTTACAATGTATGTCCTCTCTGTCGTCAAGGACGGACTCATTCTTGAGATTTTTCTTATCCTCTTCTGCCTTCATCGTCACTCCACACTCCGTACTGTCCCTCACATTCCCTTTAATGTTCTTTGTTTGTCCAGTCTCCATCTCTCCTCCCTGTGTTTATCCCCTCCCCCTTCAGGCTTCAGTCTTCCTCTTTCTCACAGCGTACATGTGGGCCGTTATGGTACACAGGGATGGGCGCAGCTTGCGCTCAACTTCATCAACGTGGCGAGCCTTGTACGTGAGAAGCACGGTAAAGGGGGAGTTAAAAGAAGAATGAGAAAAATGAATGGTTTTCAGTGTGCCCTTCATGTTTGTCTTGTGTTTTAATTTTTATTTTTTGCCGTTTGTTTTGCAAAGTGCGCTCTTTTAGTTCATAGCTTTGTGACAATATATATATATAAACTTTTTTTTCATCTTCTTTCTTACAACTATATATATATATCATCACAAACAGAATATATATATATATGAGTCAGTGAAACTCCGACGAAACAGTTTGTCACAGCCCCTTGTTTGTTGTCCTCTTCTCCCTCTCTGCCGACAGTTTACCAGGCAGTGCTATTTTGACAATATATATCTCTCTCTCTGCCTACGGTTTACCGGGCAGTTCTATTTGTGACGATATATATATATATA